CATAAAATGACAGAGCAGCTTCAGCACATGCTGAAGGCACAGTGCGCAGAAGTCGCCAACTGTCTGCAGAGTCAATAGCTCAAGACCTCCAACCTTCAATCTGCGCATGTGCGGGAGGACGCCATATGGCGTCCACCCGGAACGCTGATGACATTTGCCGCCCGCCATTCGGCCATAGGGCGGGCGGCAAATGGTTAAAGACATGAATAAGCAAATTTGGGGTGGAGGAACTTGACTGGCCTGCAGAGTCCTGACTTCGCTTTAATACATCCCAAAGATTTTCTATTGGGTTGGAGACTGAAAGCCAGGCCTTCTCGTCCGACATCAGTGCCTAACCTCACCAATCCGCTTCTGGAAGAATGATCAAACATTCCCATAGACACATTCCTAAACTTTGTGGACAGCTTTCCGCGAAAAGAGCTGAAGCTGTTATAGCTGCAAAGGGTGGGCCAACTCAATATTGAACACTATGGACTAAGACTGGGATGCCATTAAAGTTCATGTGCATGTAAAGACAATATCTTTGGCAGTATAGTGTATATGAGAAAGAAAAAGAAAACTGTTGTCAAGTTAATTTTACCTCATAGACAGAAATGCTATTTGGAACTTTTTACCACCTATTTCTTGTGTTCTTGAGTACTTGTGTAGTTAGCTTGCATGCTACCCTTCACTGAATGTGTAGCCCTACCCTGAGGAAAGTATTCTGGTTTCTGATTTTCTTAGATTCATGGGCTGTCCTAAATAGTAAAGTAATAGTAAAGTAAAAATTTAATCTTCTGCACCCCCCACCACCAAAAATGTATATTTTATATTTAGAGTTCCTCCAAAGCCCTGCAACATAGTTGCTTTTATGTAAAGAAATAGACACCTAGACAAAGGGAATGTTTTATAGCTGAAGCATCTGTCCCACAATGTGAATAAAGAGTGGGCAAGTTGCTAAAATATTTTCAGGCACTTTAAACTCCTATTAAAATCTACAAGTAATCTAAACAAAGCAAAAAATATGTAAAGCCCAAGTAGAATGACCCAAATTAATATCTCGCTGTATATTGAAACTGCGGCTAAGTGACTATACTGAACCAATAGCTTAAATAAATATGCTGCGCTGAATCAATACAATAATGCAAACAGGATTGTGCCGTTTAAAACATTCATGTGTTACAAAATATATCCAATGTTGCAAAGTAACAAAATTACCATAAAGACTATATATATACACACATAAAAATCGGGCCACTTTCCTATGTGACAAACGCTCTGTGTTCTATCAGTACTCAGTCCAAAAAGATCAAAATTTTCCAAATAAATGAATAATTGCACCCCCAAAGTGAGCAACCTCTACTGCCCCCCTTAAGGGTGTCCACTCACCTTTAACACCGACCCTCACTACAAAAAGGTCAGATACACATGTTGTTAACATTAGGTCTCAGGTAGGTACTAGTAATCCTCTAAATTTCTCCAAACCACATGGTCCTCCAGCAGGGATCAATCAACTCACAGGACTCAGCCTAACTGGTAACACCAGCCAGAGAGGAATGCGTCCCATATTCAGACTCAAAAGAAGCAGAAAAATAATCATTGTTCTCCACAATATTTTATAAAATACAAGATAAACAAATGCACTCACATTTATATGAAGAAAGACTGCTTCATAAATAGTATAAGCAGCAATACAGTGCTACTGCAAAGCAATGAATGAGGAGCTGCCAGGCACAGAGATTGCTCCTACGCGTACATAGTCTATTCTCCTTCAGACCACTAAGCTCTACTCAACACATTTCATCATGAATGATGTCATCAGGGTGCCCCATTTTCTGTGGACTGAGCACTGATTGAACTCAGAGTGTTTGTCTAATAGGAAAGTGGCCCAATTTTATGTTTATACATTATTTATGCTTATTTCTGTTATTTTGCAACATTGGATTTATTTTTTAAAACATAAATGTTTTAACTGGCACTCTTCTGTTTGCATTATTGTACTGATTCAGTGCAGGACATTAATTTATGCTATTTAAGGGTGGTTTATCACTTTGTGCTTGCAGCTTGTAGTTTTGAAACTGTAGCATGACATTTTATATACAAATTATAATGAACCAATAAGTGTCAAGAAACAAAGTACTTAACAGTTTTCTTTTGTGCAATATTTTCTTCAGTTACATAGATTCCAGCACTTACTATTAGTATAGCAACAAAACAGGCAAGAGTAGTATTCCAATCTCCACTAGCAGTTGCTGCAGCTTTTCCCACGAGCACGCTGTAGAATATAAAGTCACCAAGGCCGAGCTTTACTCCCCCTGCAGAAACACTGATTAGAAAATCATGGAAGAAGCTAATGTTCATAGCATGTGTGCTGAACACCATACTTTGATTGTCTTTGATTGTAGGAGCTATTTATCTCTTTTTAGAGTAAAAAGTTTAAAGCTGGTCAGATAGACTGCAATCTGAATGTATAATTTCTGTACGATTTCTGTTTGATCTACCAAGAACTATGCAGTGTGAAGGCCTCCCTATACAATGTATTCAAATTATATCCAATTACTTAGACCCCCCACACTACATACTGTAATTGGTAGATCTAAAGTTGATACAATCAAATTGTATCATGTGCGATCAGTTTAAAGTGATAAAAAAAAACAAACTGGAAGCTTTAATATTACAATAACAAACATGTTAAACTTACCTGCTCTGCGCAATGGTTTTGCACAGAGTAGCCCCGATCCTCCCCCTCTGGGGTCCCCCCGGCTGGTGCTCTTAGCTCCTTCTCTTCTCCGTGTGCCACCACAGACAGCCGCTTCCTATGGTGGCACACATGCGGGCTCGCTCCCGAGCCCCACTGCCTCGGTCTATTGATACAGACAGTGCGGCTCACCCCACCCCCACCACAGATTTTGTTGGCAAGGAACAGGAGCTATTAATCTATCCAGTGAGGAGGGACAAAGCCAGAAGAGCCGCTGCTCTCATGCACATCGCTGGATCGTGATTAGGCTCAAGTATAAGGGGTGCTGGGGTGCTCTGCGACACAACGTTTTTACCTTAATGCATAAAATGCATTAAGGTAAAAAAACCTTAAGGGCTTTAGAAGCACCATCTTGTGCTGTTAGGGAAAATAATTTCACATGTAACCAAACATATCACTTTGCAATAAATGATTGAAAAGTGTGCTTTTTTATAGTGCCTCTATCAGCATATCCTAAAATAGGCCATTGCAGAAATTTTTTTATGTTTAAGAAGCCATAAAGCAAAACAATGCTTTGCATTATCCTGAACATGTTGCAATGTAACTTTTAATGTATATTTAAAGCCAATGCCCTTTTTCTAGTATTGAATTGGGTAAAAAAAATATCTAATTGGGGAGACCTATCACTTCCTGTTCCAAAAAGTGATAAGTGATAATTTCTCAAAATTGAGGGGAAATCTAGTTTGTCATTTGAACAGGTGCCCTTATTGGAATTTTCCCTCCACCCTTCCCCTTCCCTAATGTGCCTATGAAACCATACCATTTTGTCTGTGCTTGAGACAATGGTCAACAGGACATAAAAACAGGGTTATTCTTCTCAGTGGGGGATACAAGCAGCATTAACAATCTAGAAAGGGTTTTACTCTAAAGTAAAAAAAATAGGCTTTTACCTGCAAAGTCCAATATTACAGAAAATCCCCAAAAGTATTTTGGCTTTTCAATACTTCCTATATACAGGTGCATCTCAATAAATTAGAATATCATTAAAAGGTTAATTTATTTCAGTAATTCAATTCAAAAAGTGAAATTTGTATATTATATAGATTCATATAGAGTCTATATATATAGTCTCTATAGGCAATTTTGCTTGTGAAATTAAAGAGCCATTAAAATAAAAAATAAAGTGTGATTTTATTTTATCACACAATGGCTTAAAATAACAAAGTAAAGCGTATCATGGACAGTTCCAGGAATATCAAAGCAGAAGTTTAAAGATGTGTCACCCTTATTCTCATGGCCGATTGTCTCATGTGCTCTTCCATGTGATGGTTCTTCTTCAGAGTCTTTCCAGAAGTAGACGTTAGTGACTATTTCTTGTCTTACAGCATGCACCTGTTCCAGCTTCTCAGCTTTGCTTGTGCGTGTCTGTATGGACAGACGTGTGTGTGTGTGTGTGTGTGTGTGTGTGTGTGTGTGTGTGACCCCCTGTCCGTATCTTAGGATGCCTTTTTATGATGCAGGTATGCAACATAATTAGTGATCTTAGAACCTTGTATGGCAAGCAATACTGCTTAGCAGAGCAATTTCATTGAAGGGAGGGGACGCTACATATATGGTCTTTTGATTGACAGGCACATATGTAGTGACCATAATAAGCTGGTGATGTTACATCAGCTTGCTCATTTGACCAGTCTCTGATTAAATAATATAAATTAAGAATGTATCTTTACAACATCTCAATAATTTTGTATAACCAGAAATCTACGTATGTAAGAATATTACCAACTTATAAACAAACTAAATACACACAGATACTATTAGAATATGTTATGTCATACTTATACTATTTTGGTTACTCCATGACATTCTACACTAGAGTCTTCTAACCAGCTATGCCCAATTATAGAATACTTAGCTCTCAGCTGGTTAGTTCAGCTAACTAACTCCTATCTCAGCTTAACTGAAGAAATTAACACTATCACTGGTTTAAGGCGGCCATTCACACATTTTACTATTAATTATGATTAATCATAAAAACCAAATATTTTGCAAGCTTGCCATCAATATAATATAAGTGCCGAATTATGGATTTTATATAATAATATTTATCACATTCAGAGTGATATATTTCAAGCATTTCTTTCTTTTAATTTTGCTGATTATGGCTTAGAGCTAGTGAAAACCCAAAGTTCAGTATCTCAGAAAATTAGAATATTGTGAAAAAGGTCAATATTGTAGACTCATGCTGTCACTCTCTAATCAACTAATTAACTCAAAACACCTAAAGGTTTCCTGAGCCTTTAAATGGTCTTTCAGTCTGGTTCAGTAGGTTACACAATCATAGGGAAGAAGACTGCTAACATTGACAGTTGTCCAGAAAACAGTCATTGACACCCCCCCCCCCCCCCCAGGGGGGTAAGTCACAAAAGGTCATTGCTAAAGAAACTGGCTGTTCACAGAGTGCTGTATCCAAGCATACTAAGGGAAAAAGTGTGGTATAAAAAGGTGCAAAAGAACAGGGATAACTGCAGCTTTGAGAGGATTGTGAAGCAAACGCCATTCAAAACTTTGGGGGAGATTCACAAGGAGTGGACTACGACTAGTGTAAGTGCTTCAAGAACTACCACACACAGACGAATCCAGGACATGGGCTACAACTGTCACATTCCTTGTGTCAAGCCACTCCTGAACCAGAGACAATGTCAGAAGTGGACTGGACTGCTGCTCAGTGGTCCAAAGTCCTTTTTGCATTTCATTTGGAAATCAAGGTCCCAGAGTCTGGAGGAAGAGTGGAGAGGCACAGAATCCAAGTTGCATGAGGTCCAGTGTGAAGTTTCCACAGTCAGTGAAGATTTGTGGAGCCATGTCATCTGCTATGTTGGTCCACTGTGTTTTATAATGTCCAAAGTCAGCGCAGCCCATAACCAGGAAATTCTACAGTAGTTCATGCTTACCTCTGCTGACCAGCTTTATGGAGATGCCGATTTCATTTTCCAGCAGGACTTGGCACCTGCCCACACTGCCAAAAGTACCGATACCTGGTTTAATGATCATGGTATCACTGTGCTTGATTGGCTAGAAAACTCACCTGACCTAAACCCCATGGAGAATCTGTGGGGTACTGTCAAGAGGAAGATGAGACACCCCAGAACCAACAATGTAAATGAGCTGAAGGCCACTATCAAAGCAACCCGGGCTTCCATAACACCTCAGCAGTGCCACAGGCTGATTGCCTCCATGCCACTCCGCATTGATGCAGTAATTCATGTAAAAGGAGCCCCGACCAATTGCATACTATACTGTACATGGACATACTTTTCAGTAAGCCAACATTTCTGTATTAAAAATCTTTTATTTTATTGGTCTTATGTAATATTCTAATTTTATGAGTTACTGAATTTTGGGTTTTCACTAGATGTAAGCCATAATCATCAAAATTAAAATAAAGAAATGCTTGAAATATATCACTCTGTGCGTAATGAATCTATATAATAAATGAGTTTCACTTTTGAATTGAATTACTGAAATAAATTAACTTTTTGCTAATATTCTAATTTATCGAGATGCAACTGGACCATGTGAAAATAAACTTTAAGTTTGGTCTTCTATTAATGGCCTTTTTTATTACTTCAATCTATATTTGCTTCTAAACATGTAAATAATAAGAAAATACTACTGGTCAAAACTTCTGTGCTGGTACATTGCACTTACTCTCCTCTTCATCATCAGAAGGTGCATTTTGATGGCTAGGTGTTTGAATTTGAGTTTCACTAGATTGTCCTTCTGCTTGTAAGATATGGTTCGCATTTAGTGGTCTTTCCTCTATTAAAAAGATAGCAAAAACACATAGGTAGCAAATATACAGCTTCTGTTCAACCTTCATTTTACTTAGAAATTATACAGTTTCCAAAATGATGGTAGTTATTTTTGCTTCCAACAAATGTATTGTGTCTTAGGGCTCATTCAGGCAGGTGCTGAGCTGAGACCCGTCCTCTGTGCTGGGCCACTTTTTGCTGCATGAGCATCCACCTGGAAATGCAGCGGCTGCACAGATACAATCGCATGTCATGCGGGCAGCAGAGGGTGCACAGATCAGAACACGCAGTGTCTGCATTCAGATCCATTCATCCACTCCTGCCAACATGTCAACATTTGACATGCGACTGGGTCTGTGCAGCCGCTGTGTCTGCAAGCACTTCTATGGGCTGCCTGCATGCAGGCCGCAGCTGGATGCACATGCAGCAAAAAGAAGCTCACCGCGGAGGATGGGTCGCAGCTTTTGTCTGAATGAGTTCTTAAAAAAACTAATTTACAGCTTAACTCTGACCACATAAATGTGTAGCTGCATATATAACTTACTTTAATCTGGAGCCTGTTCCTGCTGTATGCATTGTACCCTTATCAGAGGAGCAGGCAAAACTAGCAAAATCTCCTGTCAGAAGTAGGGCAGAGACACTGCCAACAGTGAAAGCTTTACCTGCTCTGCCCCCCTCCACTAGTTGTACAAGGTATTTATTTTATTATGAGCTCCTGTTGCTTCTCCAAGAACAAAAGCTCTCTGCCCTGTTCCAGTGAGGCCCCTCTACACTGCTGACAGTTGGGGTTTCTCCTGCTCTGCTCCATTCCTCTGATTCAAAAGTGTAACAGAACTAGCAAATACTGCACTGATCACCAGCATTGCTTGCATATCTACACTCACCAGCCATTTTATTAGGTACACCTGTTCAATTGGTTGGTAACACAAATTGCTAATCAGCCAATCATATGGCAGCAACTCAATGCATTCAGGTATCTAGATGTGGTGAAGATGACTTGCTGAAGTTCAAACCAAGCATCAGAATGGGGAAGAAAGGGAATTTAAGTGACTTTGAACATGGCATGGTTGTTGGTGCCAGATGGACTGGTTTGAGTATTTAAAAAACTGCTGATCTACTGGGATTTTCACGCACAACCATCTCTATGGTTTACAAAGAATGGTCCAAAAAAAAAGAGAAAATATCCAGTGAGCAGCAGTTGTGTGAACAAAAATGCCATGTTGATGTCAGAGGTTGGAGGAGAATGGGCAGAACGGTTGCAGCAACATTCAGATGGTAGGGTCAGAATTTGGTGTAAACAACATGAAAGCATAGATCCATCCTGCCTTGTATCAACGGTTCAGGCTGCTGGTGTAATGGTGTGGGGGATATTTTCCTGGCACTACACTGGTGAGTGCATACTGCCTCTTATAATGCAGAAGCATGAGTGATAGCCAAGGCATTCATAGCACAGCTGAGTACACTCCTGAGCCCTCTTAATAGAGGCAGAGAGCTCTAAGGCGGTGTTACTGCATGTTAAGCCTACATATACAGGAGCACACACAGGGAGTCATGCAGATTTCCTCCCCTGGCTAGCACTGTAAAAAGATTATTTCAAGGATCTGTGATGACGCTACAGAAACTTTAGCTTCTGCAGCAAATTCTCTCTAAATTCTAAAAGGGGAGGCAGGGGCGGACTGACAACTCATGGGGCCCCCGGGCAATAGGGGATCATGGGGCCCCTGTGTCCTTGCCCAAACTCAAAAAAGCCTATGAAAAAGGTACCTGTGGCATCTCATGGGGCCCTCTACTGACCCCAGGCCCTCGGGCACTGCCCGAGTTTCCAAATGGTCAGTCCGCCCCTGAGGGGAGGGAGCTATGCTTCCAAATTACTACAGCCTGGAGTTTAGCTTTAATAAAAAAAAAGAATGCTATTATCAAAGTGCATTGGTTATTTTCTCTTTGACACTTGAACAAATTATTCTTTGCCCCAAATTGCATAACATTAAAATTCTATTTATATTAAAGCCAAAAACAAATGGAGGTAGGATATAAGTGGATTATGATATATGTAATTTCCTACTTTTAATGAATATGTTCTTTTTCATTTCACTGCAGCAGTCACTGAGAAATCTCTGATTCCTGTATTTACTGGGCTCACTGTCCCCGATTTCCTGTTAGTAAGACCAGTGGCTGAAATGCCCTCTCAATGCCTGGTCCACTGGTCCTTTAACAGCATCTTTTTAGTTCTAATATATGCAATGGGAGAATCCGGGCAGCTCAGACTTTAAGCCTGTACTGCTAACTCTTACAGCCTAATTTGATTGACAGTCCAGGAGACTCCTTGTCTGCCCCAACCACGTTGATAGTGCCTGGGAATAGCTACTGTTTTATTTCAAATCAGTTATGTCGCAGACCTTAAAATGTCATTTTCTTCAAAATTGTGGCTAAGTAAAGGAATTTTAGCTTGCCTTTATTGTCGCTAAGGAAAGAAGGAATTAGGCAAAATTAGAAAGAGTCCTGGAGGTTAGCTTTAATACTTGGATCTCTTTTATTAGATAAATGCACAGAGCTTAATGTATTAGCATATCTTTTCTACAAATTACAGTTATTTCCAACAGCAACCAATCACGTTCAGATATTCAGACCAGGTCTAAATTTGACTGGTGGCCAGATGATGGTAATTTCAGATTCTAGTAAGGACATGTTAATGCTAATTACTAGACATGACTTGCAATTTCAATAAAAATATATTTTTTTTTACATTTACCTGCATGCTGATCTATTCTTCGATCTGAATCATCAGAATCTGCCATTCCCACTGTCCATACCATGGCGGCTTTCAAAATAAAATGCAAAGTTAGAATAACACATGTTGAACTCAGGAGAAAAAAACAGCCTTGAAAATAAAAAAACAATTTTAAGATTTTAAAAATGTAATTATCAACGTGCCTAAAGTTTGGCTTTAATACACCAAATGAACTAATGGTCCATTTAAAGAGGAGCTATCAGGAGCATTAAAAAATGAAATACCGGTCCTTACATTCCTGTATAAATACCTTCCTTTGCCTCTTTACTGAAAGAAAATCCCTTCTTTGGTTCTTGCATTTTTTCCTCTTAGCTCCTTCTCTGGCAAAAGGAGTTTTTTGGGCATTACTATTGTTTAGCACGGGCAGAGCTATCACCCCCTGTTCATGGAGCATGCTTGTCAGGAGCTCTGACCTTATTGGGGCATGCGCACAGCAAAGCTGTGCCTGTGCTCTAAACTCATGCTCACAGTTCCCCTGTTCCACCCCTTCTTTGTCCCTGACAAGCTCAGCTGGATCCATCACCTGACGATCCAGCTTCATTGGTTGTTAGGATGCAGGTGGATGGGTTTCACAGCGTCAGGCCTTTCAAGGTGTGAGCAGCCTAACTGCACGGTTTCATGGCTTGTCATGGGGCTTGTGGCCAGGCCAGCTGCATCAGGACAATTGGGTGCATGAGTTTAGGAGCAAAGGTACAGCTCTGTGAGCATGGCTGTCTTTGATAAAATGACAAAGCGTGTAAATCACAATTTACTAGGAATTTGTCTCCTTGAAAGTAGCATGGTTAAACAGGAATGTGAAGGAGGGCACGCTGTCTACCAGGCTATCTCAGCAGCCAGACTACCTAAAAATAGGATAAATTGCTATAAGCACTGTGTACCCAAGGGCAGTGGTTCTTAACCACTGGGTCATGGCTCACTGCTGGCCCGCAGCCTCCTTAGTCACAGGCCTCCATCCAGCTGCAAATTCCTTAACCTCCCACAGTGCCTCCAAGATCCCATTGTGAACCCCAAAAGCTATACACATTAAATTTGTTTTTCAATTCCAATAGGTCCAAAGCAGCCAAACTATTAATCAACAACACATTTTGGTTATACACATATACTGTATGTTATGTACATTTGTTTAACCCCTTGACGCCGAAGTAACACAAATATGTGGCCTCACAGAACTGGGCTTTTTTCCGTGGGGCCGCATATTTGCGTACCTGTCTTTGTGCTGGGAGCGCGTCGCACGGGGCGTTCCCAGCACAAAGACAGTGGTGTCACTGAGAGCCCCAGGTCCTGTTCTAACGATCGGGACCCGGGACTCCCGATAACGGGTCACATGATCGCTGTGATAGCCTCTGATTGGCTATCACAATGATCAGTCACTATACAGCCCGGCCCCCTTGTTTTTTTTCTCTCTCTATAAATGGAGAAGAGAGATACACTGTATCTCTCTAACTCCTGGCAGAGAGAGAAAAAAAAATTTTGTAAAAAAAAAAAAAGATAAATATTAAAAAAATAAAATAAAAAATAAAGAAAATTATCTAGATCAAGGTTTGATCTAGTTCAGTGCCAGGGTTAGTGTTTGAGTCAAGGTCAGGATCAAAGGTCAAGGTCAGGATTTAAAAAAAAAATTGGTATCAGTGTCAGTTAGTGTCAATGTCAGTGTGTTTTAGTTAAAAAAAAAAAAAAAAAAGACAAAAACAAAATGCACACTATTGTTTCTGGGCTGTACTATGGGTACAAACAACATACACATATATGGTATCGCTGCGATCGCCAAAGCTGGAGAATTTATTTTGGGTTGTTCTTTGGTGACAGGTTATGGTAGCAACAAGAAAGACACAGCTAAATAAAAAAAAATGATTTTTTACTATTTTGGGACAGTTTTCCTTTGATAATAAAAAAAAATCAGGAGATATCCATTACCATTTACCACCAAATGAAAGCCCAATTTGTCCTGAAAAAAACAAGGTATAACTCACCTGGATGTACACAGTAGTTGTGATGATATGTACGGTTTTACTAACACATGTCAACGTTGCAAAATTGTGCTTAGGTATTTAGATTTGTTTTACCCTTAGGCGTGAAGGGGTTAATCAAAAGCCTAAGTCAGCTTATCTGCCACTGGAAATATATTTATTGTGCAATATACTATACTATACTTTCCAATAGTCTCATTATTCATGAAGAAGGTTATTGCTATTGCCTTTGCAGTCCACAGAAATAAGAAGGCTGGCCAGAGGCCAGGGACTAGCAGTATTTTTATTTACAGATTAGAACATAGAAAGGAACATATCCCACCAGTGCACACATCGAAGTGTTTATCAGACACAGGTGTATGTTATAGGAAACACTCTTGACTGTCCAGGACAATACAACGCACCCCCTGCATTTAAATCAATTTTAAGTGACATCCTTTCTATGGCAGAATGGTGAAACAGTCTATGTACTTACAGGAATATATTAATGCTGGAAATATAGGCTCATTTCTTTCCTGGGCAGTTTCCACCAGCATTCTGAGAGGGCCCTTTGGACATAATACAGCTAGCAAATCTGTCAGCAAAGACACAATAAGGACATCTATTTATAGAGAAGCTGGTAGGGCTTCAGTTGCAACCATTAAAATAGTAATAAACCCAAAATTGTAACTATTGCAGCTTACTAATCATTAGATGTATTAGCACAATTGATAAATAGATAAATAGTGGGATCTTACCCCCATATGACTGCAAAAAGGGTCAGGAATCTGAGGGATATCTTGGTTAGAAGTGAATTCAAAAGGGTCAGACCAAAATGATGAAAGAAAGTACTCAGCCTAAGAGATGTGTATAGCTGGGGAGAGAGTGATATTTGCCATTTCATTGAATGGGAAAATCAATTTTAATCTATAGATGGAAGCAGCTCATTTTTCACATTAACTCCTTTATCAATTGTGCTACAGGTAGGGTTACATATAAAATTGACTGTCAATGTCGTCTATCATACATAGGAAATACAAAAAGATAGCTACAGGTCTGAATAGAGCAGCTTTTCTAAACCGATGTGCATGGCAAAAGTAAAAAAAAAACTCTCTCAACTAAGACAGATGTTTACAAATAAACATTTTCCCTTGTCGACTCAGCTTTAGTGCTGCTGGCCTGTTGCTATTTTAAACTGATATTAAAGCTGCACAAGTATTGTGTGCTCTGCGGGCCGCCTGCCTGCATCCTGCCAACCACTGACGTCATTGGTTGCTAAGGACGTGTCGAGCACCCACACAGCTTACTGGGACCATTGCACACAGGTGCTTCTGGGAACTCAAAGTAATGCTCAGCTCCTTGACTGTGTAAGCTGTATGTCTGTGTGAGAAGGCCATGCACTATGTGAGGAAGCCAGGGAGAAGGCTGAACTCTGAGCTCTTGGCAGTACAAGGCTTATTGTGGGCATGGGTAACACAGCACAATTGCTTTTCATCTGCCACAGTTTTTTGACTTGGCATCTTGGGGGGTGAGGAGATCCTGAAATGATAATATTGCTCTATTATACATTTTTACCATCTTTTGCGTGGACTTCGAACTGTGTATGTGTTATTTTATTTTAACTGTATTTATGTAGTGGTTGCTACTGATATGTGAACTCTGTGTTTACAAACTACCTTTTTTGAATACACAGTTCAGAGTTCACTATTTTGTAAAGCAGAGTGCAGTAGTCTGTAAGGCAAAGTTCAGCACTTTGTAACGCAGAGTTCAGTAGTTTGTAAAGGGAGTCCAGTAATTGGTAATGCAAATTTCAGATTTCAGTAGTTTGTAAGACAGAGTTCTCTGCGTTATAAACTTCTTTGTAACTTATGTAACTTAAGAGTTAATTTGCCTTAAGGTCTAGGGCAGGGGTGGGCAACTGTGGCCCTCCAGCTGTTGTAAAACTACAAGTCCCATGAGGCATTGCAAAACTGACAGTTACAAGCATGACTCCCAAAGGCAGAGGCATGAAGGGACTTGTAGTTCACAAACAGCTGGAGGGCCACAGTTGCCCACCCCTGGTCTAGGGAGTATATAAATGTTTGCACACATGGAATAGCTACAGTACATCTGAGGAAATTCAAGTTTGGAAAGAAACACGTTGATGCAGGACTCCTCTCTCTGGGTGTGACTTACCCGCAAAGAGCTGCAGACGAGTGAAGTTGTCAAATACTCTCCAGTTATCTAAGAGCGATGTGAATCTACCTTGTAACACCACTAAAAGGTAGGTGACTGCCTTTGGAACATTAATAGCATGATTAAAAGCTTAACTGTCTAATTAATTATCTGAGGCTTCATGTGTTCCCCAGGTATATATTGTATATGAAAATTGAGAGGAAATAGACTTTTGCCTCACTATGACTCATCCGTTCCAATGACAGGAGGAGAGTCGGCATAACACCCTATACAAGATTAAAGTTGCTGTAAGAAATGTGTAAAGATTGAATCAACTGCATGCATAATTGCATGCTGAAAATGGTATTGGTGCCACTAATCTCGTAGTCCTTGATTGATATGGACTTTCAAAAATACTGTGTGTGATCAGTGGAGTATGTGAATAATACTTACTGCACGGATCTTTGCACCATCTATTTATCGGTGTGTGTATGCAGAGGAAGTTAAATCGGCCATACATGGTTCTGTTTTTTGCTTTCAGCCAGCTGGTCTTCCCCGCCATAAGAATACACTGAGCAGCGAGTGGAAATATACCAACAAGCTTGTTCATGAAAAAAAGTCAATTGATAGATTGACATCTCATGAATGGGAACGGCTATACATAAACTGAAATTCGTCGGTTCCTGCTGAACCAGCTGAATTTGCGGCCAGCTTGAGGCAATTGTGTTTATCTAGAGTGGGTGTGCTCATCTATGTCTGGCTTCTTACAAGCCTACACCAATCATTGCAAAAAAACTGTGAATTACTGAGGTGAAGGAGAGTGAGACAATGGGGTTGATTAACTAAAGGCAAACAGACTGTACACTTTCAAATTGTAGTTGCTCTAGAACTCAGTAAATGAGGTGAAGCTTTATTTTGTGGGCAGCACAGTGGCTAAGTGGTTAGCACTTCTGCCTGGCAGTACTAGGGTCGTTGGTTTGAACCCCAACCACAGCACTACCTGCCTGGAGTTTGCATGTTCTCCTTGTGCCTGTGTGGGTTTCCTCTGGGTACTCTGGTTTCCTCCCACACTCCAAAGACTTGCTGGTAGGTTAATTGGCTCCTGTCTAAATTGACCCTAGTATGTGTATGTATGAATGTGAGTTAGGGACCTTAGATTGTACGCTCCTTGGGGGTTAGGGAATGATGTGAATGTACAATATATATGTAAAGCACTGCATAAATTGATGGCGCTATATAAGTACCTGAAATAAATAAATAAAATAATAATTTTGCAGAAAATACCCACTCATATGCATGGAAAATAAAAAATAGCATTTTTGCTTGCACATGATTAGATGATAGAAGTCAGCAGAGCTTCCCCTCATTTACTAAGCTCTGTGCAACCTGCACAGTCTATTTGCCTTTAGTAAATCAACCCCAAGGTATCTTATCATGCTTCTTTGAATATAAACCCAGCTATTAACCCTTGCTTGGGTACACCAAGGCAACAGAAGAATGCAAGGAGTGCTTACATTGTGTTAAATTCATAAGAAGGAAAAGCCAAAGAATATACACTGTAAACGTACAGTGGGAGATTGTATAAATACAGTATATGCTTATTGTGAGACAATAATCTAGGAAACTGTATCAGATACAAAGTTACTGAACTATGTAACTTCGGAAGGCCATAGATTATTCCACGTTGCAGGAAAGAAAATCGCTTGATTCCCCCATGAACACAGTCAGTGTTGTTGTTTTTGTTGATCTATATGCTTTTTTTATTTGGGCATTTAACAGTTTGCCTGGAGTTCAGCTTTAACTAAATGATAACACAAAAAACAGACATAATAGTATGCTTTTTCTCTTAGCTTCATTCCATTTATGTTATTTCACTCTTCACATACAAAAAAGGACTAACAACCAGTGCCATAACCTATGCTACTTGCTTTGGAATTCACAGCTAAAATTTTTCATAATATCGTTGGGCATGAAAATGTACACATTACTTTACCAGGTGTCTACACATCAGATTCAATTCTTATCTGCCCAATATAAGTATCTTGGAGCTATTGAAGCAGAAAACTTTTTTCTGATGTGATTTGATGATGTTAATTTATGGCAAAATGACATAGTAATATACACCAAAAGCATTTGATGGCATTCACCTTTCATAACAATAAAATGACAAATTACAAATTATGTACCGTATACAGATATTGCTCCCAGTATTACCCAGGCCGACCACTCAGGCAAATACTTGATGAAAACAAGAGCCATAAGAGCACTGATCATGATAAGATAAGCCTGTTGTAACTGGAGAGGCCCCTTCCAATGAATACAGATCATGCCCACTGCTCCAAAGTTCCAGATAATCATGATCAAGGTTGGGTAGTCCATCGCTACATTGTAGGTTTTAAAAACTTCCCTATGACAAAAACAAAAAAAAAAAAAAAAAGAAGAAACATTCCTTTTAGTAAAAAATAAACATTGCTTAATGTTTCAGATACCTTACAAACTGCACAAAATTAGTGATTCAGCCCTATCATTTCTTCACTCCCATATCTTACATCAGTTAACTGGGGAGATTTATTATTATTATTATATAGGATTTATATAGCGCCAACAGTTTGCTCAGCACTTTACAATATAAAGGGAGACAATAGAGCAACAATACAGTTCAATACAAGAGGGTTAGGAGGGCCCTGCTCCTTGGAGCTCACAATCTAGGAGATGCTAGCTACTAAAAAAAAAAACCAACATGCTAGCTACTAAGAAAAACATAACACACACACCTAACAGCAGATGTTTCAGTGTTACAGTGCAGAATATTTTGTATAATTATAGCAGTCATAAGCAACAAATGTTATTGGTAATGCTTGCACTAAATCACTTTCACCTAGCTACTGTATTTCATTAGTACTACTATTTTGGGATATCATCTCTAGGGTATCTGAAATATAAAATATAGTTTCTGTTCAAATGTAAGAATAAATTATACCCACCCAAGATAGATGTAAGTGAACATAAACAGCAGCATTAGAGAGGAAAGAATCAGCCACCCATGAATGAACTAAAAAAAGCAAAAAAAAAAAAAAAAACACTGGGAATTATACAGCAAAAATTAAATATCAAAAAGGTGCATACAGTATTTTGCATAAAATATACTATGAATTAGAGGTACATACAGTACTTTATGATTTAGAATGATTTATAATACCATATTTTCCGGCGTATAAGACGACTTTTTTTATACTTAAAAACACACCCCAAAAATCGGGGGTCGTTTTTTACATTGGGTATACAATGTGAACCTTTAGTTCGTTTGGGCCAAGCTGGCTCAAAACGAATGTCCCTAATCTGTCAGCCTGCTGGATGTGCGGTAATACTGTATGTACGGTAGTTTCGGCTACATACAGTATACCGCACTGAGCCAATCGCGGCGAGCAATGTATTCTATTAATTAATTTAGAGCTTGCTTGGATTGACTGAGGTTGTGACATCATCAGCCCACCTCTCTGACTCAGCCAATCCGAGCAGACTCTGTATTCATTAATAGAATACATCGCTCGCCGTGATTGGCGCAGCGCAGTATACAATATGTAGCAGAAGCTACCGTACGTACAGTATTACCACAGATTAGAGACGTTCGATTTGAGTCAACTTGGCTCAGTGCGGCAGTCTTATATGGCGAATATAGCCCAATACCTATGTTTTAACTGGAAAGTTAGGGGGTCGTTTTATACACCCAGACGCCTTATACGCCGGCAAATACGGTACACCTCTGTGCTATGGCACAATGCTGTTCTATGGCCACATACAACATGCCCGATTAGCCATGGCGGTTGTAAACGCTGCTTGCACACACAGTGTGCGACCAGCAGCAGCTGCCAGTGGTGGTGGTCAGAATAAGGCTCCATGCACACTGGCTTAAAAAAATGCCAGTGCTTCTGGCAGAAAAAAAAAACGGCTAATTTTGAGCATTTTTGTACTAGTGTTTTCTTACAAAATAAAACCCCAAACAATCTCAAAAACCCAAAACAAAAGGGTTTTTTCTGCCTCTAAACGCTGAGCTTAAAAAATGCTTCCAGACTGCCTAATATGCATGGACACACAGGATAACATTAGTTGCTTCTAGAGGTAAAATGCTAAACTCCTCTAGGAGCAGTGTTTTTTTTTTTTTAAGCCAGTGTGCATGGAGCCTAATACTTTGTACAAATCAATGGCTGGCGCCGCTACTGTTCGCCTATAAACACTCATCTAAGTGTTAACATGCGAATAGAGCACCTGACCAATCATAGACGAGGACAGTGTGCATCCAGGATTTTCACTTCTGCACAGAAACCACCCCTGGCCACTGCAATTCAGCAGTGTGAATGTAGCCTGATTATGATGAAGTACATGCTGAGGGCTGACTTAAAATGACAGTGTCTCTAGGACATACAGGGGATGCATCTCTTCATTACAGAGTAATCCCTGCTTACATGTGAAAATATCAGGTTGAGAACTACTAGTTCATTCAAGTAAGCACTGCATCTGTGCTAAATCGAACTGTAAACTGAGCTCAACTTAAAATGGAACTCCAGCCATAAAGTTTTCCTAGTTTTACATAGAGGGGAAGAGGGTTAGAACCTCTGTCAGGTGTTTATTGCCAGTGAGAAGAGACAGCAGTGCGTTCAATGTCCAAAATATTGTTTTATTTGCAACGTCAGCATGTGGGTGGTAACAATAAATGTTGCATTTTGGACTTTTGAACATCCTTAGTCGTTGCTGTTGTGGTGACAAGTGTTGAGGTGGGATTTCCTCTTAGTTACTGCTCTGTCTCCAGGACAATAAATGCAGAGAATATTTCTAATAGGCTCACAGACAGCTATAATAACCTAAGAGGGGTTTTACAGTGCCTTGAAAAAGTATTCATACCCCTTGAAATTTTACACATTTTGACACATTACAACCAAAAATGTAAATCTATTTTATTGGGATTTTATGTGATAGACCAACACAAAGTGGCACGTAATTGTGAAGTTGAAGGAAAATGATAAATGGTTTTCAACATTTTTTACAAACAAACATCTGAAAAGTTTGGCGTGTATTTGTATTCACCCCCGTGTCAATACTTTGTAGAACCACCTTTCATTGCAATTACAGCTGCAATTCTTTTTGGGGCTGTCTCTACCAGCTTTGCACATCTAGAGAGTGAAATGTTTGCCCATTCTTCTTTGCCCAAGCTCTGTCAGATTGGATGGAGAGTGTCTGTGAACAGCAATTTTCATGTCTTGCCACAGATTCTCAATTGGATTTCGGTCTGGACTTTGACTGGACCATTCTAACACATAAATATGCTTCGATCGAAACCATTACATTGTAGCTCTGGCTGTATGTTTAGGGTCGTTGTCCTGCTGGAAGGTGAACCTCTGTCCCAGTCTCCATTTTTTTGCAGACTAACAGGTTTTCTTCTAAGACTGCCCTGTATTTGCCTCCATCCATCTTCCCATCAAATACTGACCAGCTTCCCTGTCCCTGCTGAAGAAAAACATTCACACAACATGATGCAGTCACCACCATGTTTCACAGTGGGGATGGCGTGTTCAGGGTGATGTGCAGTGTTCGTTTTCCGCCACACATAGCGTTTTGCTTTCAGGCCAAAAAGTTCAATTTTGGTCTCATCTGACCAGAGCACCTTCTGCCACATTTGCTGTGTTCCCCACGTCTATCACATAAAATCCCAAAACCATGCATTTATGTTTTTGTTTGTAACATGACAACATTTAGAAAGTTTCATGGGGTATGAATACTTTTGCAAGGCACTGTAAATCCAAATATTTTTTATACTGAGAATAATGTTATATGGTATACAAGCATCTGCACATTGCATAAATACAGAAATGTCATACAAGTGACGTAAGGGTAGTGGTGATAAATACAGGAGTTTTATAGCATGTTTTAGTGGGGTATTTTGGCTGAGAAGGGTTTTAACCATATACCACGACTATATGAATATATGTTCTCTGTAATCCTCTGCATCCAGCCCCGTGTACATCTTCATTGGATTAGTAGGAGCACAGCTGATGTCTAGGCTTCCTGCATTAACAATTTAATTTAAAGTGGTTGTAAACCTCACACATGAAATATGAACAAAGCATATCCCTCTATAGTGTGTACTTGTGTCAATTAAAAGCACTAAGTGTTATTTCTGTCTGCTGCTTTGTTCTTCTGCTATCAGCATGAATCACTTCTGACAAGTTTTCTTGACACCAAGAGAAAAATGGTGACAGCTGAGGGACCTCCAGCAGATTGACAGCCTCTGCTTGTTTCCTGTGAGCTGTGTGGAGCGGGGTGCATCTTTTCCCTCCAATCAGCTCCCAGAGCTCTCTTCACTGAGCTCTGCAAAGTATAATTTTAGCTCTCTGCCCCCTTTTTCTAAACTCTCAGATAAGCTTTATATATTCTGGACTTTGAACAGCTGTACAGAAGAGAAGACTACAGATAAACAGGTATGACTTATGTAGGAGGATTTGTTTCATCTCTTTGTATCACCTGAGGCCAGTCGCTATGCTGGCTACATGTAAAGGTTTACTCCTACTTTAATCTTAAAAAATAGGTTTGAATTTGATTAGTGGCTGTTAAATGCGCCTTAAAGTGGTTCAAAAGGCAGAAAATTTTTTTTCTTTTACCTAATGTATTCCATGCTTGAGTGCCCCTATAGAAGAATCTTGCTATTGGGGGTATTCGGCTGGGGGGAGGAGCAAGGACTGCCAGCTGGGGACCCAAAAAGAACAGGATCAGGGCTACTCTGTGCAAAACCACTGCACAGAGCAGGTAATTATGATATGTTTGTTATTTATTTTTTTAATTCCAACCTTTAGAATCACTTTACGCTGTCCATACATAAGTAGATTTTCAAACAAACATTTGTATGAACATTCGTATGTAAACCCTTATCAGTGCACTCCATGACGAATGTCATTCAAAAGTACTTTAAAATTGTGTTTGCTTTTAACATCACATTTTGGAATGTTCCTATTTCGCGTTTTCTTGCGTGTTTTTCACGCAATAACGCACATCACACATAGGGCAGTCTATTCACTTGAATGGGCTTCCCTACACATCACAATGCCCAAAGAATCTCCTGTACTTCATTTGGAGCGGAGCATGGCGCTTTTTTTTACCGCTTTTTTCAGTGAACCCTCGCTGGGATCCCCACATGTAATCACGGAAGGCCTTATCTGTGAATAAGGCCTTAACATGTAACTGCCTGATTATTTTAAACTTTTTATATTATTAGATGAAACATGCATTAAACAAACATTCTGCATATGTAAATGTGAATAAAAGTCAGGCAAGACCAGCTGACACAAAGTTTGTAACCTACCCACAACAAAAGTACAAACTATTACTGAAAAACGTTTAACTGTAAATTGGTTTAGGGCCTACGTCCTAAATCGGAAGAAATATAAATTCTATTTATTAATTCACTGAATAATCTTTATGCATTATTATTTGGGAAAAAATGAATGAAATAAAGGTATCTTACCTTATAGCAGCGATATTTGTATAATAAAACAAGAAACACTGTCATCACAAGGATAACACTTATCATTATAATTGTATTCAGAACAGAACAGAATTCAGAAGTCGCTGCCCAACTGAGGTTGTATCTTCTGAAAAAGGTGTATAGATTCTAAAAGCAAAAACAAATTAACAAAATGACTAACGCACCCCCATCATACTTAAAATATTTTTGAGAATATAAATCATTCACCAAGGCAGTACAAGGAAAGATGTGCAAGGCATATCCATTGCAAAAAGATTTACTGTAATTACACTGTGCTTAGATCAATGGTGTTAATGTGACAAACTGTTTAAATAACTAAAGTCTTAAAGTCAGTTTTGCTGGCATCACTGCTAGTTGAAGACTTTTAATTTAATTCCAGTAAAGTATAAATGAACACATAATTTAAAGAGATAGCAAGACAAAGGAATATTATTACCTTTAGCTACATCTGATTCCTTAAATGCTGACCAAAATCCACTTTTATTACCTTAAGCCCTGGTTCACACTGGATGCGACTTGGCATGCGATTTGCACGCCCTGCAACTTGCAAATTGCATGCCAAGTTGCACCCTATTGTCCACAATTGGAGCGGTCATATTGGTGCGGTTCTGACTTGGTCAGAGCCGAACCAATTTCAAGTAGTGCATGTACGACTTTTGCTGCAATTTGCATAGACATGTGTATCAGATGTCTTGCATATTGCACCTGAAATTGGTGGGTCCCCCAACTTTGAAATCGTGCAACATTACTGTAAGTCGCACGATTTCAAAGTTAGGCTTGATGTGAACGGAGGGTAAATGCAAAAATGGAAATACGTATTTATTAACATAACAAACATGTACTTACCTGCTCTGTGCAGTGGATTTGCACAGAGTAGCCCTACGCCTCCTCTTCTGGGTCCCCCACCAGCACTCCTGGCTCCTCCTCTGCTCTGTGTGCCTCAATAGAAAGCCGCTTGCTGTGAGAGCGCATGTGTGTGCTCACTGCCAAGCTGTGTGTGTCTATAAAGCCGCACCCCATAGACAACTATTTACTGCACTTACTGGGCGCACACTATTAATGAACTAAATAAAAATGCAATGCCCACTTATTCTGCAACCCCCACCCCATGTAAAAACATAGAAACAGCAATTAAAACAACAAAAACATTCCTTTAGTTGGCACCCAGCGAGGGTGATGGACGTCTGGTGAAATCCTGATAAAGCCGAGGATCCCCAACATAGTGTTGGAGCATATCCTTGCATGATTTGGAATACTCAGCTTTCCAAGGATCTTGTTTAAACAAAAAAAATAAGTAATGACCTCTCCTTTTTTTTTACATTGAGGATCTAAAGGATAAGCAGCTTTGCATTTAATACAAGTTGGATTACAGCTGAATAAAGATGTGTAAAGATATTTACCAAAACTGACAATGGCTAATAAAAGCACCAATAAACCACATATAAATTGTAAAGAACAGAATGTGTGACATCTTTGGATTGGTTACACTTATTCTGTGCCTGAATCTGGATCTAAACAGTAAACACTGATCATCCTGCAAACTAGGCTTGTCCATATGCTATCTACATCTGCTAAGTATGAAAATCTGAGGATTCAGAGCCAGTGAAAATATTGTCAAGTGACTAAAAGAATGAAGTGCTTTATTAGTGCATTTATTAATGTTTCGCATTGGAGCCAGCAAAGCATTGAAAGCACAATCAGTTCATCAGTAAATTAGGTTACAGGGATGGAGGAAGTATCAATGGACTACAAGTGCAGTGATGGCATTGCACTTGTGCATCATTGAGATCTACAGGTCCTTCTATCGTAATGGCAGAAGGGACCTGTAGTCTTCCATTGACAGATCCCTGTGAATGAATATGTGAACGTATGCTGCAGCGATGTGTACAGAACCTCGCACAGCGATGCCAAAATAGTAAGAAATAATACAATGCAGTAATTCAGGTAACATGGGGGGTGGTGGGTGGAGTGGTTTTGGAGGGATGCGGAATGTGACCATGTTTCATGCTACAGCCTGAGTATTGATATAATGTGAAACATGATCATAAAAGTGGAATTCTGCCTTTAAAGCTTCATGAAAGGTCTGCTTACTTAGTGTGTCCCCTCCCCCATCTCAAAACACTGGAAATAAAGGTAGGGAGAAAAGTCACCTGGGCAGAGGTGGGGGGGGGGTGGTGAGGTGATATACAGTACCTACTCCCCCCCCCCCCCAATTTCTGAACTGCAGTGGGTGATGTCACCATCCTTCCAGTGAATGCCCAGGAAATGTGGAGTTGCCCAAATCTTGTGAGAAGATGCTACAGCATAGTGCAGTAGCATTATCTCATGAGATCAGAACTGCTTGACATTCACCAGAATCTTGCTGGAAGGACAGGGACATCACTCTTGCCCAGGCATAGCAGGGGTCAGGTATGCATATTAACCCCATTCTAGCCTAAGGGTAAAACAAATGTTAATGCCTAAGCACAATTTTGCAGCGTTGACATGTGTTAGTAAATCCGTACAGATCATTACAACTACTTTGTACATCCAGGTGAATTATACCATATTTTTTTTCCAAGACAAATTGGGCTTCCATTTGGTAGTGAATGGTAATGGATATCTCCTGATTTTTTTTTATTATCAAAAGAAAAATTGGCCCAAAATAGCAAAAAAAAAAAATAAAAGATTAAAAATTAAAATCTGTATATTTCGTTTTACTACCATAACCTACCACCAAAGAACAACCCACAATAAACTCTCCTGCTTCTGACGATTTCAGCATTGCCACCTATGGGTATATTATTTGTTGTTTGTACCCGTAGTACAGCCCAGAATCCACAGTGCACATTTTGCTATTTTTTTTTGTCCTACCTAAAACACACTGACATAATACTGAAAAAAAAACCATCCTGAAATCCTGCCCAAAATATACTGACCCTAACTTTTGACCCAAACAATAACCTAGATCAAACCTTGATCTAGGTATTTTTTTCTATATTTTATAGAATATACATATTTTAAATATTTATTTATTTTACCCACTGTTGTCCCCTCCAGTTCCTTTCTACCTTTTCAATACCCCAAAAATTAAGACAACTGGGATCTTTTCTGTGGTAATCTCTAAAATTTTTAGAGAAACTGTGGCTTTTTACACTTTTCTTAAAATTAAACATGCTCCCTTAACCTCACTTTGAGCTGTCTGGATGTCCTAACTACATACTGAATCTTACATGGACATTCCAGCATAAAAATAATTCCTTTCGAAGTGCATGTAGGTTGGACATCCAGATATCTCTAAGTGAGGTTAAGGGAGCACGTTAATAGTATTAAGAAAGGGTTCACAAAAACAATGTCTCTAAACATTTTAGAGATTACCAAGGAAAAGATCCCATTTGTCTTCACTTTTGGGGTATTGAAAAGGTAGAAAGGAATAGGAAGGGAGGTAACTATGTGAGCAGCCTAAGTCATTGAGAATCCTACTGGATTTATGAGACTCAGATTCTATCCCCAAAATGTCATAATGTTGATTTTGATTTGAACAGTTTTATTAGTGATCGCTAATTCTGCATCCCCCTTGTTTAATTTTTATTGTTTTTTTATTATTATTTATTTCCTATTTTAGTTTATATCATTAATTCATTTTACATTTGCAGGTATTAATTAAAAGTGGGATAATATTGATGGATTGTAAAGATGTAGTTTATGTGCATGAATATAAAGGTGGCCACGAGATTATAAGCATTTTTTATATATTTTTCATCTGTTCGTCTAGTGTCCCTGTGCATGGAAGTTATTTATTGTATATTTGAGGCTGGTTCCTCACTTTGGGCTACTCTGCGTTCTGGTCCCTGAGGTTGTTTACACAAGTTGCCATTGGACCGTCGGGGATCGCATAAAACATCGGGGAATGGCATCAGCTCCACGCCTACTGAGGAAGTCCCGCCTTTGAACGTAATGCGTGTAGGGGGTAGAGCTTCACATCTGATGTCATCCCGCAGCCATCTTGCTGACTTGTGCCCAGCTTGTGTATGCCTGTCACATTGCACTATTGAGTGTAAGTGTTATCCATGTTTTAGCAGTAAAATTGTTTAAACAGTGCGCAATATGGGCTGCTTTTTCTTTTTTCTTTTATATGAGAGATGTAAATTCTAGAGGTGAAAATGGAGGAATAAAAGCAGCATCCAGATTGTGAACATATGCCCTTAAAGGGAAACGCTTCCGACCTTCTTTTAGCTCAGGGGTCATTTCCTTAAGGTGAGAGGCCAGTTTGGCTAGTGGAGAATTTTTTTTACAATGGTGATATTGGTGACGATGTTAAAGAATTTACATACCATCACTGGTTAAGTTATTGTACTTTTCAGAAGAATTGGTTATTAACTGATTTTCAGACACTGGGATTCACATTTACTGTGGATGCTTATGGACAATTTGTTTGGACTGATTATTGCTTTTGGTTGCGCCGCACTGTTTTATTTGTACATTTTATTGGGGCGTGATGTGATAGCCTTCAGTGTTTAACTTTGCATCCATTCTTTCATCAATACTGATTATGGTTATTTTTTTGTCATATTCAGTATTGGAGGTGGGTAATTGTGCAGATTTATTCACAAAGGTTTTACTCCTTTATGTCTAGACTACACTTTTATACAACTTATAATTGGCCAAACCAGATATGTCCAGGCATCTACTAGATAGATTTTCTTTTACTTAGGGAGCATTTACTACTTAGGCAACATAACTAGGCAAATATATTGATTTCTAACCAATATTTCTAGCATTTTCTCCAAACTGAGAGACAACAACTGACTTGTAATTTAAATCATCTTTCAATATAACAGAAATTGATGATTTGTTTCTAATCTTTTTTCCTATTTACTCATTTTTTATTTTCTCTATCTTTACTTCCTTCTTTTAGAGTTTAACACTGCAACCATATATATGCTTCAGCTGAAGTATTTTACAGTCTTTTTCCCCTTTTATGGAAAATTTTTATATAAAAAAGTACTCACAACTGTCCATTTTTTTCAGTGTAGAAGCTGACAGATTTAATTGTAGCTACAACGACCACCATGCAGAGAGTAACTGGGACAAACAGCATTATGACATGCTTGGCACCATATTTAAGAGTCAGTTCTTCCTCATCAGTGTCCACGGGGACTTGTCTGTCAGAGGGAACAGACGTTGCTCCATTTGCTGCATCACTAGCTTGAGCACTGCTGGTATAGTGTTTCTGTGGAAGAAAAAAGGCTTGTAATCAGTGCAAGAACACAACTGATTGACATTTAGAAGTACTTATTGGATACAAATGACAAAATCCCATGAAGCACAATGCCCTCCAGCCTGTGACTGTACAGTGAAGCAGAAGCAGCACAGTGATTTACTGATCTCTCTGTCACTCTGCGTTGGATGGGACAACAGCACACAGTGAGGGATGCAAGCCTCCCACTCAGCTGGCAGCCTAAGAAGCTGAAGACTTTTCAGCTGGTGTAGCTCTATAAAAGAGTGAAGATCGGAATGATCAGTGCCAGGACTGATATTATTTCTACCCTTTTACATGGTGACAGGTTTCTTTTATTATTTTTTTAACTGCCAAAATTGCTTAAAGAGCCCCTGTCATCAATGTAAATTGCAGGTAAAAGCACAGAAAAAAATATTTAAATGCTTACTTGCATCTGAGGTTACCTTTGAATTTGCTAGTAAATATAAAAGTGGAACTGTAATTGGAAAAAAAAAAAAAAAAAAAAAGAAGAAATTGTGAACAAGCGGGTTTTCTAATGCATAAGAGAGATGCCATGTCTTGCCTTAATGTCTCCTGAAGATTTTACCCCCTTCAGGACCAGGCCATTATTGGCTATTTGGCACTGCACTACTAACTGCCAATTGTGCAGTCATGCAGCACTGTAACCAAATGTAATTTATATTTTTTTTCACACAAATTGAGCTTCTTTTGGTGGTATTTGATCACCACTGAGTTTTTTATATTTATATTATTATATTACACAGTCCAGCCGCCTGACTGCTGATCTCTGCAATTTGTCATCAGTTCTCTGGAGATCCTCCACGCTGACCTACATGCTCATTCTACATTGAAGACAGTGAGTGCATTACTTTTTTCTTTCCTTTTTTACCTAACAGCCTTTATTTAGATAAGTGTTCCCTTTCTCTGTTTATACTTTCATCAGTACTAATAATATACATGGTCACTGCACTAATGACACTGGCTGGGAAAGGGTTAACTAATCTAGAGGCAATCAAGGGGTTAATTGTGTACCTAACAATTGTAATATGTGCTGCTTTTTATTACAGATTGATTTCTTTTCCCTGCTTTGCGCTTGTTCCCTCTGTATAGAGCCTTGTGTTCGTCAACACAGGGCTCTGCATGTGAGTAATGCCTTCTCACCCAATGTAAAATGGGCGAAGATGGGTACCCGGAAAAGGACTGACTAAAAAGTTCAGTGGACGGTAAGGGAGTTCCAGGCCACTCCAGCACTGGGGTGGAGGTAAATAAAGTTCTGCTTTATTTATTCCAGGAGAGTCCATTCTGTAGCACAGTGCTCTGTCTCCTATTCTGAGAGTGTCTAATTAAGCTGATCATACTCTGTAGTGAAACACAAAAAAAAATAAAATAAAAACAGATTCCTCCATTCCCACAAACAAGGTGACTAGAAGAGTACCCCTATTAGGACATTGTATTCTGACAGAGGCATGCCATCAGTGGCTAAACAATTAATTTCTGTCAAGCGAGGGAACCCACACGCTGATTGAAATTCGTTGCATCCCTTTTGGACTGGCTGAATTTCAGTCAGCATATGACCACTTTACTGCCTCTGCTAGCTAAGCTCCTAGGCACCCCTCCCCCATTAAAATAATGGTCTGGCACAAGAGTGTCCTTATTGGTGCACCAGTTAAAAGAAAAAAAACATGCGGTCATAAAAGATTTGCCTCTGATTATGCAAAATGTCTGACAGTCACCTGTGAGGCTAGAAGAAGGGAGAATGCTGAGGAATTGTCACTTGTATGGAATTGTTTTAATACACTAAATTGTGCTAATTATTCCCTGTTAAGACAGCCATACTTTATCAACCTAGAGTTTAGCTTTAAAATATAAATGTATATATCACAAATGGAGTTATGCATTAATTAAAAATCATGAAAATTGTATTTTTGGTTTACTTGTAAATTCCTTTTCTTGGTGTACATCACAGGACACTATCTTCATCTCCATTACAATGGGGATATGCTGCCACCTTCAGGTGTGTGGGCATCAACAAAAAAGAGAGGAAATCCCTCCTAGACATAACCCCTCCCCTCTTCAGCAAGGTTTCAGTTTTTTGTAGCAAGCCATAAACCTCTAAGGCAGAGAGGTGGGATCCCTGTCTCCAGTGATATACTTACCTGAAAAGGATTTTACAGGAAAGCCAAAAATCCCACTTTCTATACTGTACAGCCCAGGACACAGGGTAGCTTCATCGTATTCATTTATGATAGGGATGTCCCAAAGCACTAAATATGAGAGAAGGGCAACATGACAAGCCCCAAGCAAGTAAATTGGAATAGGTTAGAACCTAAGTCACTAGCAAAAAAACCGAAGCCTTGCCCATTGGGGAGGAGTTATACCTAGAAGGGGATAACTGGATTTTTTCTACATACTTACCTGTAAAATCCATTTCTTGGGAGTACATCACAGGACACAGAGCAGGCTATTCATGACTATGTGGGTTATAGGCCACCTATAGGTTAATGGACACTGAACGACCAGAGAGGAGGTCCTCCCCTAAATAACCCCTCCTATACAGGAAGTACCTCAGTTTTTGTAGCAAGCAATGACATTCCAGAAAGAGGGGTAGGACCTCTGTGTCCCGTGATGCACTCCAAGAAATAGATTTTACAGGTAACTATGTAGAAAAAAAATCAAATTTTCTTTATCATACATCACAGGACACAGAACAGGCTATTCATGACTATGTGAGATGTCCAAAAGCAATAAGAAATTTGACGGAAGGGTGACATCATGATAGCCATCGTCAATAATCCCTTAGGACCAACTCAGCTGTCCGTAAAACACTGCGGTCAAAGGCAGAATTATCTGCGACTCTGACATCCACCTGGTAGAACCTTGTGAATGTGTGAACCGAAGACCATGTAGTTGCCTTGCAAACCTGAGCCACTGATGCCTGATGGCGGATTGCCAAAGATGCCCCCACACTCCTGGTGGCGTGTGCCTTCACCCGAAAGGGTGGGACCTTATCTTTCAATCCACATGCTTGAATGATCAATTGGCAGATCCAATGAGAAATAGTCCCTTTGATGCCCCCTGCCACTTCCTAGGCCCCTCTGGCAGCACAAATAGAGCATCTGACCTCCTGACCTGTGCTGTCGCCTTCAAGAAGACCCTTACAGCACGAACCACATCCAAAGTATGCAGAGATCTTTTTCTTGCTGACTGAGGCCTAGGAAAGAATGAAGGCAGAACTATGATTGAGATGAAAACCAAAAACCGCCTTTGGTAAAAAGCACAGGTGAGGTTGCAACGCCACCTTATGATGCAAAACCAGAAAAATGGTTCTCTGCAAGATAGAGCTGCCAGCTCCGACACCCTTCTTGCAAAAGTGAAACACCTTACAAGTCAACAGAACCAGTGGAATCTCTCCAATAGGTTCAAGTGGTGGCTTTTGCAAACCCTCCAAAACCAAGTTCAGGTCCCAAGGACACAAAGGCAACCTGACAGGAGAAGCCATACGAATCACTCCTTGTACAAAAGTGCAGACCAAAAAGTGAGACACAATGGGCCTCTGTTAAAAATAGCTAATGCTAAAACATGGTCCTTACTGGTACCAACAGCCAAATTCTACTGCAACCCTGTTTGAAGAAACAACATAATCCTGCCAATCACGTACTTCCATGGGTCCCATTTGTGAACCTCACACCAGGCAATGTAAGCCTTCCAGGCTCTGTAACAAATGTTCTTAGAAACGTCCCTTCTAGCATCCAACAAGATGGGGATCACAGAATCCAATATTCTCCTATCCTTCAGGATCTCGGTTTCAATAGCCACGCCATCAATTTTAGTGACTGTAAAGCTGGGTGCAATATAGGACCTTGAGACAACAGGTCTGGCCAATACGCCAGGTCGTCTACTGCCATCTTCACTATGACCGCGTACCGGGCCCTCCTGGGCCAGACTGGAGCAATCAGTATCACCGGAACAGACTCCTCCCGAATCCTGCGTAGGAGGCGCTGCAGCAGTTGAATTGGAGGAAAGGCATAAATCAGTGAGGACTGGTGCCAAGGAATCACTAAGGCATCTATCCCTGCCAAATGAGGGTCCCTTACTCTGAACACAAAAAGACCAACCTTGGCAAATTTCCTGGAAAACACCGAGATGCAAAGCCCATTCCCTTGGAATCAACTGCCGGCGACTGAGATAATCCACCTGCCAATTTTCCACACCTGGAATGAACACTGCCGACAGACTTGGAACTCATCTCTCTGCCCAGGTCAGAATGTAGTTCACCTCCTTCTGGGGACCTCAACTCCAGGTTCCGCCCTGGTGGTTGATGTATGCGACTGATGTGGCATTGTCTGACTGACGTTTTTTGGGGGGGATGGAGCAGGTACCTAATTTTGTCAGGTACCCGTTCCCATTTCCTCTGAAATTGCCCATGTAATTGTTTCCAGAAAATCTCCTTCCCCCACTCGCAGCCTCCAGGTTCAGGCTGCGGTTTCCCACAGTAAACATTCTGGTGCCAGGAATAGTGGTGTGACCCTCCTGCGCTCCAAGTGTGTATTTAAAAAAACTAAAAGATAATAAATCAAATAAATATGTGTATAAATCCCAAAGGGAGCTGCTAGCATTAAATCATATACCAGTGATCAAGTAAATATAAAACATAAGAAATGCTGCGCTACATTCAAATCAAAACAAATTGTGAATGTGGGATCCCAAAATATCAAATCAAAAAATGTGACAATATTAACAATACAGGTCTATGCGTGCTTGCTGATAATACCAAAATCCAATAAATCACTCAAAAAAATGTGAAAACACAAAAAACTATATCCATATGTATGCGCATAAACCAAACATACACATAAATATAATTAAATCACTCGTGCCTATTGTGAAGTGAAAAAATAACCATATTAATAGTGCACACAAACTTATATCTCAAAGTCCAAAAAAATATAAAGTATTGTTGGTGAACAAAACAGTAAGCGGTGCTTCCAAATAATACTGTTAGTGACCACAGGTGAAAACTCGTGCAGGTTTCTGGGTATATATAGATCTACGAATCCAACCACCTTCTGGATTAGCCTCTCACCTCATCCCTTCGACCCTTGCGGATCAAAGAGCAGTAGTGGATCCCTCTCACAGATCCTCCAGGCACCAAAACACTCCAAAGACCGCTTTCAGGATATACTATTCCCACTACGGCTCTTCTCCAGGAAAAGATGTAATATCAATCTCTCAGAATGAGACAAAGGAATCCTCCCATAGTGTAGTATATTTAATTATACCATAGGAACATGTAACATTAAAACTTACGTAGCAGCCAGTCCAAACTAAAGCCTCATGCTTTCAGATGAGGATATATCTGTTGGGTGTCACCCAACAGATATATCCTCATCTGAAAGCATGAGGCTTTAGTTTGGACTGGCTGCTACGTAAGTTTTAATGTTACATGTTCCTATGGTATAATTAAATATACTACACTATGGGAGGATTCCTTTGTCTCATTCTGAGAGATTGATATTACATCTTTTCCTGGAGAAGAGCCGTAGTGGGAATAGTATATCCTGAAAGCGGTCTTTGGAGTGTTTTGGTGCCTGGAGGATCTGTGAGAGGGATCCACTACTGCTCTTTGATCCGCAAGGGTCGAAGGGATGAGGTGAGAGGCTAATCCAGAAGGTGGTTGGATTCGTAGATCTATATATACCCAGAAACCTGCACGAGTTTTCACCTGTGGTCACTAACAGTATTATTTGGAAGCACCGCTTACTGTTTTGTTCACCAACAATACTTTATATTTTTTTGGACTTTGAGATATAAGTTTGTGTGCACTATTAATATGGTTATTTTTTCACTTCACAATAGGCACGAGTGATTTAATTATATTTATGTGTATGTTTGGTTTATGCGCATACATATGGATATAGTTTTTTGTGTTTTCACATTTTTTTGAGTGATTTATTGGATTTTGGTATTATCAGCAAGCACGCATAGACCTGTATTGTTAATATTGTCACATTTTTTGATTTGATATTTTGGGATCCCACATTCACAATTTGTTTTGATTTGAATGTAGCGCAGCATTTCTTATGTTTTATATTCTGGTGCCAGGGATTCGATGACCGGCAGAGAACCAGGCCAGGTGACGACAACACTAGACCCCTGGACAGGCAAGTGTCCGTTTAGTAAAAGTCAGCAGCTACAGTATTTTGTCAAATTCAAGATCCTCCGTAACTGCAGAAGGTCCACTTTAAATGTCTGCTTCTCATCTTATGATCGATGACCTTCGTGAGAAGGACATGTGGAAGAGGGGACCTCTTGGACCCCCCTACTTACATTATATATTGTACATGACTTGGGGAATGCAGTTTTTGGATTAGTTGCATGTTTCTCACCCTTTGATTTGTAGCCTCTGATGGGGTCTGTACTCCATGCTGATAAGAAGGTAGAGGTGGACTTTCAGAAGCAATCAGTGATGTTCTCTCATTGCATTCCTCTTCCTCTTCACTGTCTGAACTGTTCATGAATGTAAACATGTTCAAGCAGTAAGTACCTAGAAGTGGGGTCAATCAAATTATATAGAAATAAATAAAAAAAAAATAAACACATTTTAACTTTCTTGACAACTAATTTTGAAGAAAGGTATATGTTAAAAATGTATATATTAAAGAAAGGTATATGTATAAAATATTAATATTTATTTCAGGTACCTATATAACGCTGTCAATTTACACATATACTGTATATTGTACATTCACATCAGTCCCTGCCCTAAAGTAGCCTACAATCTAAGGCCCCTCGCATTCATACATATACTAGGGCCAATTTAGATAGGTGCCAATTAACCTACTAGCATGTCTCTGGAATGTGGAAAGAAACCAGAGTACCCAGTGGAAACCCATACAGACAGAGGGAGAATATTCAAACTCTGCAAGTAGTGCCATGGCTGGGATTCGAACCAACAATCCTAGTGCTGCTAGGCAGAAGTGCTAACCACTTAGCCAATTTGCTGCCCATATCAGGGACTGCAGATACATCAGCACCAAATATCAGACTTCTTGCTGACATATCTTCTACCCCTCTGATGAAGCCACTTGAGAGCGGCGTAAGGAGCGGAGCCAGTGACATCAGCAAGCCATACAAGAAACCGGGGCGGAAGATACACACAGCACGGAAAAGACAGTAAGCGGGGTATATCAACAACCCTTAAGGGGATTAGTGTGAGTTTATCTGACACCTATTACAACTTTCACCCACACCTTAAGGAGACAATGCGAACTTGAACGGGGAAAGTGCAGTTGCCATTTATGCCTTAAGGGGACAGTATAAAGCCATTAACCCGTGGTGCACCAGTCCAGTGCACAGTATCATGTGAGTGCGGTTTTATTAAAAGTTTAACAAATGTTTATGCTTATACAGAAAACACTATGATGGTTCAATCTTTCATTTCTTGAGCACCTGTGGAGATTTAGTATAAGTGACATCATATGGAGCAGTGGAGGTATTCAGATCCATCTGGGTTTACAGCATCCATCCAGGCTATATTACCCCCTTAAAGGAGAAGGCGCACTAGTCTTAAAGCGATACTAAAGGTTTATTTATTTTTGTAAAAAATAACAAACATGTCTATACTTACCTGCTGTGTGCCATGGTTTTTGCACAAAACAACTTGGATCCTCCTTTTCTTGGGTCCACCGCAAGCTATCCTGACTTCTCCTTTCTGTCGGGTGCCCCCAGAGCAAGCAGCTTGCTCTGGGGGCACCCGCTGCTCCGTCTGTCCATTCACACACGGAGCCGTGGCTTGGCCCCACCCCCTCTCTCATTGGCTGACTGGCTGTGATCGACAGTAGTGGGAGCAAATGGCTCTCGCTTGTTCTCTCAGACAATGAGGAGGCAGAGACACGGGACAGCCGAGGCTGTTGTGCACATCGCTGGAGCTCAGGTAAGTATTAAAGGGGCTGGGGACGCTGCTGCACACAGAAGGTTATTACCTTCATGCATAAAATGCATGAAGGTAAAAAACCTTGAGCCTTTACAACCACTTGACTTGGTCAAAGCACCAGAGGAGGAGCTTGTGGTGAAGGAGTGTGCAACATGTGAGAATTATTCCACAGAAGATTGATGTAAAGAACAAGATTGATATATATACATAAAATATTGGACTATTTACAATTTTAAATACATGGGACCTACTGCACATTATATTTTTTGTCCATTTTATTCTCACAAATGTGTGTATAACTGCAGCACTTAATATTCACTGACATATAATGGTGTGACATATTTCTCAATATCCACAGGAATGTTTGCCAGCTTTAAATAAAAACTTGAATATGACACAAAAGATGATGAAAGCATACAAGCAGAAGAAAGCTTAACTGAGTAAAATTGTCCTTTATGACTCTTTATGGACATTTCCTGAAGCCTGGAATATAAAGCTCACCTGTTCACCAACATATAGCCTAGGCGAGAATGGCAGAGAGGGGTATTTAAAAAAATGATGCTTCTCAGGGATCTCAGGGATTGAAGTCTGAGGTCTTCATGAGTAGGGGTGTTCTAGCCCTGCTACTGGATTACCATTTCAAATGATAAAATGAACAGTAACACCCCAAGTTGCGTAGGTAAAAAATTATTACCTATAGTGAAAATAGCTATGGTAAACAGCATGAAGAAATATGTGTTGTGTGAGGTCTGGAGCAGCCTTGCTCCAAGAGACTAGTTAATAAGGGAGATCAAATAGCAAGGAAGACTATGAATATTAAATACCAGTACTCACAAAGTCCCAAACAAAATGTACTGAACAAATGGTGTTTTGTACGCAAACTTTGCCTCAGGACAATGAGTAAATCAAGTTCCCTAAAAATTCTACCAGAGTCATGAGACCGGAATAACCACAAGATTTAGCTGGCTTGTTTCAAAAATGAATTTATAAATACTCCACTTAGAGAATTCTTTAAATTCAGAATTAAAACATTTATTTAATTCACTTTTCTCACCTAACTACAATATCAGAACTTATGTGTGCATAATAAAATAATAGGCTGATAGCCTCCCACAGCTTCCAATACCATTTCTATGCTGACGATACCCAAATCTTTCTACCCATCAGATCACCCATTGCTCTCCTTGTGCATCACTATTATTCTAGCATATCAGTATGGATGTCATACCACTTCCTGGTGTGACAGTCAGTCACCAGCTCACTGATCTGCCCCCCCAGCGCTCACTGGAGTGCTGGGCGGTGGAAGAAAGGGAGCAGCTGGCTCAGGCTCTCGAAGGATCACTGAGAGACTGAGCCAGGTGCCGGTCCAGACATCTGGGTGGATCCCAACCATATGGCTGGGATCTTTTTAGGGCCTGGACTGGCTGAGTGACATCAGCCAACAGTGGATTTTAGCCTGCTGTTGGCTAAAAATGGGTCACTGGAGTGTACAACGAATAGTACTCCTGTGACCTACTGTACAGGAGCGGTACAGCCAAAATAGCTTTGGCTATACTTCTCCTTTAAAAGTAGAACTGAAGGTAATTTTTTTTTTTTCATATTGGATGGAGTAAGAGATGATTCTAACCCCTGTCAAGTTTGTTTTTGCTATTTGATCCCCATTGGGGAGATTTCCCTTAAAAATGCAATGCGTTTCCAGCACTTCCAGCAGGAGTTGCAAAGCATCACAGCTGTGGCATGTAAAAAATCCCCATTTCGCTGCCTATTGCAGCTTAAGAGGAGGCAGCAGACAGGTGGAAAAAATGCGGCTCAGCTGTACCTCAATGTACTTGTCTACACCGTGACTTAAAGTGGATCTTCACTCAAACACAGCACTTTCAATCTGTAAAAACCCTTATTCTGCCCACCCATTTCCCCGGCCCGCAATCTGAAATTCCAGTTTTTTTGTTTATTTACTTTTTTGCACTCCACCCTACCAATGACATCTCCTCCACTACTAAAATCTTTGAGATATGCATGTCACATCAGCTTAGACACAATGGCTGGATCTAGCAGCACGTCATCAGGTGATCAGTTGCCTAAACCTGAAACAGACAGCTGGCTCCCAATCATACTAGAAAAGAAGATGGTGGCTAGGAACCAGGATAGCCGGAGCCGCTTGGTTGATCACAGCAGAACAATGCTGAATACACAAAGCGTTTGAGTATGTTCTTTGAGGACAACCTAGCGGATAAGTTAAAAGGAGAAAGAAAAAAAATGTGGGGGGGGATAGTAAAGTTACCCGGAGTCCCTTAAATTGATCTTTATGCCTGGGGAAAGGCAGAAGGGAATGTGATCACTGTGACTGCAACATGAAGACAAAGTGGAGGTGGAGCCAACAGTCGTTGCTGGAATTCACTTCAACTGATGCCCATTAGAGATGAGCTTTGGCATCCTCTGAACCCATCTCTAGCCGAACACTCGTTCTTTTTGTTTAATCCAATGAGCTTTGGTTTGGGTTATCCCTGCCCCACAGCTCATTTAAAAAAGAAACACCGCAATTTTAGAGTTTGGCTGGAGATGAGCTCGGAGGACACCCAAAGTCAACTCTAATGTCCACTTAAAGGGTTAGTTCACCTTTACCAAAAACCTGCTTTGCAGATAAGGGGCGTCTGTAGATAACAAAAAAACAAACTGTGCCACTGTAGCACTACTCCCAAAGGAGTTGTTTGATAACTTTGGGATCTCTGTTCTGTACCTCGACTCCATGAACAACCTCGGTCCCTCTGACACAACTAATTGACTATAAATGACTGCAAGCATGGATAATTACACAAGTGAAAAATACCTTTAATCTGGCTGTGGGTTACATCCAGTAAATAGAAAAACACCCATTTAGTGATAAATGCTCTTAATCTGATGCTGCGGATTGGAATAAATGACAAATTCAACATAAATGAACACCCAGCTGATAGATTAGTATACAGTCTGCTAGACAGAATCATAGGTATGTTAAAATAAGAAACATTCAGATTTTATACTCCTAACTAGAATCAGGATAGTGAATTAGTAAATCAGCTATAAACAATATTAGTAAACATTAAATACAGTATACAGTGGATATAAAAAGTCTACACACCCCTATTAAAATGCCAGGTTTCTATGATGTAAAAAAATGAGACAAAGATAATTAATTTCAGAAATTTTTCCACCTTTAATGTGACCTATAAAAAACATTATAATGTGGTTGCATAAGTGTGCACACCCTGTTATAACTGGGGAAGTAGCAGTGTTCAGAATTAAGCAATCACATTCAAATAGGAATCAATACACACCTGCCATCATTTAAAGTGCCTCTGATTAACCACAAATAAAGTTTGGCTGTTCTAGTAGGTCTTTCCTGACATTTTCTTAGCTGCATCCTACAGCAAAAGCCATGGTTCGCAGACAGCTTCCAAAGTATCAGAATTATCTTATTGTTAAAAGGTATCAGTCAGGAGAAGGGTACAAAAGAATTTCCAAAGCATTAGATATACCATAGAACACAGTGAAGACAGTCATCATCAAGTGGAGAAAATATGGCACAACAGTGACATTACCAAGAACTGGACATCCCTCCAAAATTGATGAAA